CGTATCCACTTCTTGATTGGGAACTACTGTAAACAATATTTGACACTTGCTTCTGTGTGGGTCAAATATAAAAACCTTTGATGCAACTCAGGGCCTATTACATTCTCTAGTTTTTCTATTTCAATGGCCCGTTGGTTTACCTAATAACCCTCTCACTCTCGTATAATTTAGAAGTTTCATAGATTGTATCTACCCAATTGTTTATTCGAAGATATTTTCTGTCTCTTTGTTTCTTTGTGTATTTATTGGTCAAATCCTCTTTACATGATCCATCAATAGATTTTTTATTATGTACTTGCTGTATTTGTATTTGCAACATTCATTTGAGACTCCCCACTGAACATGTATTCCATATGCTTGCAGATTGAAAGATAGCATAAACAAAAAGCATTTCCGGGTTATCTTTGAGGTGCGTGTCATGGTGCTATGGGATAAAATATTTTCTGGTCAAATTACTCAGAAACATGAGATAAGGCTAATCATTTTAGTCAATGGGCTATTTGAGATCCTTCTCATGAATAATTTGTTTTAACTATAAATTTTGGCCATTGTTTTCTGCCTCATTACTTACTACTTTGGCCTTCACATTGCTAATGATGTGAAGTTTTGGGATTGTAATGTTGCAGGGTTCTGGCAGCTGCACATGTTTCTCTCTTCTGAAGTTAATCGTGTTTTTTTTTTTCTCTCTTAATGGATCTTGTACCCATTTTCTCTCTTAATGGTGTCTGTACCCATGATAAGATCAACATTGATTTCACATGTGAAATTCTCTTACACGCTCATGCTTAGCAACTCTTCATGAGCCACTTAGTACAGTCTACATGTGATTTCATGCTTTAAACTTCTGATGCCATATCTACTTCGGTTTGTTATGTGATGCTTTTGTTCCCTATATATATCTGCTTTATATTTTTTTGAAATGTTATAATCTGCTTTATATTTTTAAAATCAAAGATGCTTAATTTGCTGAAATCCAAATAATGTTGCCATTTGCTAACTTTTGGGCTTTTTTCCTATTTTCCATGCCTTTCTTGGCAAATTTGTTGGAATCCAAATTGCATGATCCATTTAGGCTCCTAGCTGAATTGATCAGGTAGTCACCAATAGTTACCGTTTTTGGCCCAGGCAATTTAACTTATACTAGTACTTAACAAATTCCAGAACTTAGCATCCTTTTCTTGAATTCCAGAACTTAGCATCCTTTTCTTGAATTCCAGAACTCGGCATCCTTTTCTTGAATTTTATGTGTAGAAGCCTTTCATTGAGACTTAGCAGAGTTTCACTGTCTCAGTGATTCTTCGAATTCTTTACTTAAGTTTATGTGGTTAAAAGTTGGCCATCGTAAACCTTCGGATTCTTTGGCCCTCATATGATTCTACTAGTTTTTCACAGGTCTGAAAGAAACATGTTTGAACTTAAAGCTAATTTGTTTGTAGTTTTGTGCTTATCAATCCTATTATACTCTCAGACATTTGTGAGTTGCAATTTCTATGTCATATTTGAGTACAATTTCTTAGGCATATTTGAAGGGCTGAACCAACATTGGAGTTAATTACAATTAAAAAAAATGGTTCTTATTATCTTTTTTTCTTACCGGGTATTTTGGCTGCATGTTGTATAATCCCAAAAAAAAGGAAAAAGTGAACAAACAGTGCAGATCTCAAAACCTGGTCCATCCAGCATTCAAGAGCTTCTTGTACGAAACAGAAGAGATATTGAACCTCAACAATGCTAGGGCAAGTATTTTATTACTGCAAGGGTGTTTTTTCAACAAAAAAATGAAATAAAGGAAAGAAAACGATGGATTACATGAGGAGTTGAAGGAGGGCCAACCCAATATTCAAGAGCTTGTCGAGGTACAGGTTCATGTCTGAAAGAGTAAGGAATATATGCATAGACCTATTCTCTTCCTCGCAACTCATGGAGATCTACACGCATTTGCCCATAAACTCAACCGCCCCTGTGTAGTTCTCACTAGAAAAGGGGTCCGTGGCCATTGTAGGGTCTAATGTAGAGAGGAAGAGGAGGGAGAGAGCCATGGCTAGGGTGAAAGACATGGTTCAGTGAGAGTTTTTGCTTATCCGTTTCTTCTTGTTAAATCCCTGTCCTTAAGGGAAGTTATGCAATGTATGTAAATTCATGTACTGCACCATCATTTCTTTATAAATCCTGGTCGTGGTTCTCTTCTGAATCTTAGTTAGGAAAGGTAACACTTGGAAAAAAAAAAAAAGAAAAAAAAAGGGAAAAAAAGAAAAAAAGAAAAAGAAAATACTGCTCATGTGCCACCTTTCCTCCATGCATGCTCTACTTTCGATAAATTTGGCATGGATATCTCTTTCCTTTAATGGTTTTGCCATGGATTCTAAAATGTGTTATGATCTCTCACATGAATGCTTTCTCCTCACCTACATTATGGATAGGGGTGGGAAATGGGACGGGTCAGGTCGGACCATAGACCCAGCTGGTCAAACCCACCAGGTTGGATCTAAAAATGGACCTGACTGGCTGGGTCTGGGTCTACTTGACCTTAAACCAACCCTAGGTTGGGATCCAGCTTAGATCCTATCACCTCGTTTGAGGCCAAAATTTAAGGCCCTCAGAATGTGCCAGGCTCAAGGCCTAAAAAAATTTCAAGTTGGGGCTGAGCCTGGGTGGTAAAAAAGAAAAGAAAAAATTTGGCTGGACTCGAACGACA